CCCCAAAACCCCAAAACCCCAAAACCCCTATTTTTAAATAAATTAATGAAAACTTTTATTTTTGGGCTTAAAATTAGGCTTTAGGATGGCCAGATAAACTTTTTAAGTATAAGCTCCATATTTGGAAGTGGTGTCTAAGAGCTCTTTGAGAGGAGATTCAGGCCTTTTGAAATGGAACTGTTTTAGATTTTTTGCTAATGTTGTGAGACTGGACTTTCAGGTTGAATATTCTTTCTATTGTCTTATTAAAGTGGAAGGATTACTGAAATTGATTGGAGTGATTTGTTTAGCTTATTTACAGCCGAGTTTGATTAGTCTGAAAGTACGCTTTGGACTTTTGCCATATTTAAAGTTTTTCAAATACTTCAGAGATATTTTTGAGGCAGTCTTCTTTTCAGGAATATCAACCCCTCTTACAGCTCTTTTCATCATAAAATCTGTTTGATCAACAGTAGATTTCCTGTCTCTGACACTCTTAATGAAGCTTACTTTTGCTCCTGAAGAGATTCCTCTCTTCCTGCTGAATTGGAGTTTTCTTCAGGTTTTCTCCCTAATTCCTTGTTTTCTCACTCATGACTGCTTTTCAAGTCCAAGGTTCAGTAGCAATTTTCTATTAAAAATGGTTGTATCATTATTCTTGTATATATTTCTTGCAATTATTTGTTTTTCTCTTTCTAATTTATTTCACAGTGATCTTGTCATTTCTACAGAGGAATTCCAAGAAGAGCCTTCTCCGGCTGGATATTAAACAATCGACTTACCCTCTGGAAGGATTTTTGACTTGTACCTTAGCCTCCCTGTGTAATAAGCAATCACAGTTATGATCTTTGGAGAAATTTCATTGGAAAATTTGTAGGTTCTCAGATGTTTTCTTATTAGGTTGGGTCATGACTACGTCCTTTCTCGTATCTAAACTACTTAAAGGGGGAAGCTTACCAACACTTTTAGAATGAGTTCCATCATCTAAGAATCCTTGTTAAATATTTTATTTGAGCCTTCATAAATCACTTTCTTCGGACTGTACTCAATAGTATTAAGTGGCCTCCCATCCAAGAGATATACAGGTTCAAGTGTGTTGTTAAGTCCTGTGGAGGGTTTCTTCATCGACAGATTAAAATGAATATTCTCCTCTGTCTTCTTGAACAGGACCTCTTTCTCAGAGCCAAGTGGCTTCATCTCTAAGTTTCAATTATTTATAGTTGGTGAGGGGTTTTGGGGTTTTGGGGTTTTGGGGTTTTGGGG